AATGTATCTGTATATATCTAGGCCAAAAGTAAATAAACAAAAGAGGAAATATGAGCTCCTGTCTTTGGGAATATCATCCCAATTTTGACATAGACAGGGATGAGAAGATAAAAATCCAGCCAGGCTGAAGATTGACAGAGATATAAACCAAACTTCTCATTTGACAGAGAGCTGAGGCCAGAAAGACCAAAGGTGGGTTGCAGAGACTGGAACCTGGAGTTTCTAGTTTCTAGCCACTGGCTTTCCTCCAGTCTATCACTCTGCCAGTTAGTTTATTCAAGAAAAAATAGGTAAACTCATAAGGAAATAATTCTGTAGAAGCAAAAACTATATGCCTAGCACTCTTCATTGCACTGATGAAGTAGGAAATTTAAATGTTAAAGATGAAATGGTTAATTTTGTTAATTTGGCATAACTGAAAATGATGGGCTGGGTGCTTTGGCTCATGTCAGTGATCCCAGCACTTTGGAAGGCTAGCGGTTTCAGAGACCAGCCTGAGAAACACAGCAAGACCCTGTCTCTACGGAAAAATTTTAAAAGTAGCCAGGTGTGATGGTGCACACGTATGGTCCTAGCTATCTGGAAAGCTGAGGCAAGAGGATCCCTCAGCTTAAGCCCAGGAGTTCAAGGCTACAGTGAGCTATATTGCACCACTACACTATAGCCTGGGAGACAGAGTGAGACTCTGTCTCAAGAAAGGAAGGAGGAAAAGAAGGGAAGGGAGGAAAAGAAGAAAGGAAAGGAAGAAAGAAGACAGAAAGAAGGAAGGGACGGAGGAAGGAAAGGAAGGAAGGAAAGAAAGGAAGGAGAAAAGAGAAAGACTTTTAAAGGCTATGTAGAAATACAAATAATATCCAGGACATGTTACATGGAAAAGTAGAGTACAAAATCAGAGACAGTGTTTGTCATGCCTGAGTGTGAATCCCAGCTTCACACCTCACCAGCTCGGTGGCTTTAAGGAAACCACTCAACCATTCTGAACATCAATTCTACTATCTCCAAAAGAATAATAGTATCTATCTTACATGAGAATTATGAGGCTAAATAGGAGAATGAATGTGAGCCTGGCTGCCATATAGAAACATTCTGTGTTAACCACTATTATGTAATTATATCATAAATTCCACTATGAATGTACTGAACAAGAATTGGAAAGTGATGTGTAAAAACAAAAACAACTGCAATGGTAGAAGGATGAGATTATAAATATGTGTGTTTTAATTTTCTCTAATAATGTTACATCATTTTCCAATAAGAAAAAGGTATTTAAGTAGGAACAACAGGGTTTTGGTCCCCTGTTCCTCCAGGGGCCCAATGCTTCCTGTACCCAATTCCTAAGGCTGCTGTGGCATCTGTTAGTGCAGAAAGTCAACAGCATCCTGAACCTCTTGAAAAAGAATTGAGATGGTCCTGTCTTGATCAGACCAGACACTGACAGAATCTTACAGCTACCAGCTAAGTCAGGTTCATCCATCCACACAGACATCCATCCACTCACCCACATGCTTTCTGAACCACTACTGTGTGCTAGGAAGTTTGCTGGGAGCTTTTAAAGAATTACTATGACCCAGGAAATGAATTTGAACCAATCTCCAAAATACCATATAAGTGAAAAAAGCAAGCTTCAGAACACTGTGTATAGAATACTACCATTTGTATTAAAAATAGATATATAAATATACATATTTATAAACTTGTAAATGCATAGAATTGCTCTGAAAGGATACACAAGGTACAGAGAACAGTGATTAACGCTGGAGAGGGGCCTGGGGGTGACCTCCATAGGGAAGCTCATGGTTTATTGTACACCCTTTTGTACTGTGGAATGACTTAACATGTATTAATTTTTCAAAACAAACAAAAAATAAAAGAAACTGCTTGGTACTGAATATACAGTGATGAATGGGGCAGAGGTTCCTCAGTTTGAAGGATGGCAAAGTATTGAACTTGCTGGGCTATAGTTATTAAGTTTTTAAAAACCAGACTTTACAAAAGTTAAGGGGGAAGTTCTACAATAATTAGCTGCTAGTAATTCAGCATACCATTTTACAGAGATAAAGCAGTTGGAAAGTAAATACTAGTAATTTGTGAACCCTTGGAGGGTATTACATTGTGTTCCTAGAAGGGCAGGGTCCGTCTGTCTGACTTGATCAGTACAGCGCTCACTGCAGCACCATGTGCAGATACATGCTGGCTACAGGAAGCATTTTCTGATGGTGACAAATGATAGCACAACCATTAGAAAGTATCTTGAAAAAGAAAAGATCAGAAGATAATTGAACTCTGAGGGAACCATGTGAGGTTAGGCAACCTTTTCTGGATGATCTTCAAAAAATGGTCTTCAAATGGCAAGGTTAAGTCTCAACGAGAATGAAGGGTCGTAGAGACACTGCAAGTGTTTCGGAATGTCACAAGTGTCATGCACAGAGCCCTCGTTGGGATGACAAGGCATAAACGGACTCCAAAGAGGACCTGGCACTTGATGGAGACCCCAAGCTACCTGGGAAGTAGGGAAGTGAAGACCTGGGTGAGGCAAACCAGCGACGAGTTGGCAGCCAGTCAGAGTCCGAACCACTGTGGTCACTGCAGGGGCACTGTGGGCACAGGCTTGATGCAGCACTGCCACTGCAGGTAGCCCAGAATGTCATTTTACCTCCCTGAGCCTCAGTTTTCTTCTCTGTAATGGAGGATAACTGTGAGACCTTTGTGAAGATTAAATGAGAGAATAATCAGAAAATGTTTAGCAAGAGGCTGGGCATATGAGCAGAGCTTTAAGTGCTATTATCGTCACTATTACTAGATAACAGGTGCCCTGGGCCAATTCATAACCGATAATCAGCATCAAAGTCAACAGTAAATAAGGTGTGTTCTACCTTCCATGCCCGTGGGTCAGAAAAGAACACCCCACATTCATATAGTGTTTTATAAACTAGAAAATGATTTCACATTTATGATCTCACAAAAGCCTATAAAGCAAGCTGGATGGGCATTACTAACTCTATGTTGAAGGGGAGGAGCCAGTGAGGTTGGGGAATTAGAGATCCCCTGAAGGGCAGGACCCAGGCCAGGACCAGCTTTCCCAGTGGGTAGCTCAGCATTCTTCCCCCACCTTGCTTCCTGGAAGAGACTATCAGAATGGGCCCACACACCTATAACTCCACCCCTCTCTGCCTTGGCCATTCATTTCAAACCCTTCTATTAGTCTCCTCTAGAACTTGTTCTTGGGAATGGACCCAGAGTGCAGGGCTGGCTCCCTACAATTAGAATTAGGAAAGAGTTAATTAACCCAAGTTAAGTTGGGGTTACCTCTGGCTTTGCCACCGACGGAAGCAGGCCCAGCTTGCCCTCACTGCCATCTGGGGAAACAAGAGGTGGTGGTCTTGCCAGGAACAGTAATCATTAAAAGGGTACTGACAGCCAGAGTCTCTCCAAAACTGAGGCAAAGACTAACCTTTTCCACTGCCATTGGCATTTCCACCAAAAACTTGGCATTTGATAAAGAAAGAAAATATATTTTTTTCAACTGTGAAAAGGTTAGGCATATTTATCTGACTTAATAATTTATGATTGATATTTAATGTCTCCCTGGAAAGATCACCTCTAAGAACCTAGCAAGCAACACAGTCCTGCTAGATCCTTCTGCGCACAGCCCTGTGACACTGGGTTGGAGATCAGAGGACACCACCCCGCTCCTCGTGCTGCAGCAGCCCTACCTCTGCTGTCTGTGATCAGACAGCCAGACTCCCAAGTCTAATCCCAATTCTGCTACATCTGAGTTGCCCATGGCAGTAGCAACAGCAACGTCTCTTGAATACTGCAAGAAAATTATAGAATTCTTCCTTTCCACTCCTTTTACCTCCTCTTATAAGTAAGGGGTCTCTCAGGTTGAGAATCCACCTGTAGGAAAGATGGAGGTACCCAGAAAATTTCAATAGGCTCTAAAGCAACACCAGTAGTGCAGGGGAGACCTTGTTGGTAACAACTTTTGACTGGCAGCAGGCCCCACCCTGCTCCCATTGCCCCTTCAGAAAGTCTCTAGAGAACTAAGAAGCATGGGGCTCCTGGCTTCTTAAACACAAACAGTCAAATCTAGAGAAGCCCTCCCTTGCACAGGGGAAGCACTGTGCTCCCTCAGAGATGGAACAAACCAGGGAAGTCTGGGCAAGACCCTCAGGTGGAACAGGGTGAGGCCAGGCTCACTTGAAGAGGAATACAAGAGCCTACCTGCATGGTAAGAAGGTTTTTATTTGAAATATAGTCTGAGCAACATGAATGTAGCCAAGAGAAGGAGGGGCAGTTGCCTCTCTAGTGGCACAGGGGCGAAAGCACAAGTGTTCAGTGTCTGTGTGCCCCACACCCCCTGTCAGGAAGGCAGGACAGCAGAGCAGAACCCACCCTGCTCCTTCCGTAGGGGCCTGGCTCCTGTGCCTGCCTGGCTGTGCGGCACCTCCTGCTGTCTCCAGGTGCAAACAGGTGTGCTGCCGAAGTTTTTCCCACCCACAGAGACACGGTAGCCATGTGACAATTAGTTTACAGGACTATTTAGGGGAAAAGAATAGAGGACAAGAAGGAGGAGCAAGGTGACTAAGGGCCTCGCCAAGCCAGGCTGGGTAGAGCTCTCCCATAGGGACTGTGCCAGCACCCTCCTTCCCCTCTGTCTCAGACTCTGGAGGCAGGAAGAGCTGGTGTCTCAGGAAAACAGAGCTCTGAGGAGTCCCCTGGCTGAAGGCAGCAAGCTGGAAGCTCCCTGAAGAGCACAGCCACTGAGGGGCTTCAAGCCAAGTCAACAGTACTGGGGTTGGGCCATGTTAGCAGCCTAGGGTTAGAGGGACATGGATCAGAGTTGGGGTACCGAGAAGCAGCACAAAGCCATAAATAACAGAAGCAAATTCAGAGCTGTGAGGCCTTGGTGACCCCACATTCCTGGGTCTGGGGTACTGAGCACAGGCAGCTCAGGGAACTGAGCTGCTCTAGGGCATAGCCAGTCACACCCACACCCAGGCAGAGCCTTTTATTTCCCATGGTGTGCACAGCAGGTGGAGGATGCCATGGCACCACCCAAACCACACACTGCAAAGCCTCTGGTCACACCTGAGGGGACAGTGCATGGCTGTCCTGGTCCTGGGAGGCCTGTGGTTGACTCTGAGCATCTTGGGCACCATCTTCTTCAGGGGCTGGGCCCAGTGACCTCCTTGCCTCTGGGTCGGTCAGCAAAGGTTCGCCACTGCACTCTTCTAGTCCGTTCTCTCTAGTCTCCATGGACACCTCCTCCCCAGAGCCCTCCTCAGGCTCTGCAGCCTCTGCTGCCACCTCCACTGCTGCCGCCTCTTCCTCCTGCTCTCTCACCTTGTGGACGATGAAGAGGTGGCGGCTGAGAGAGCTGGCAGAGGTGTAACACAAGCCACAGAGGAGGCACTGGGCTGTGGAGCTGTCCACCTGGTGCTGAGGTATGTGGCTCTGAAACTCGAGCCCCGAATCTGTGGCAAAATTACATTTTGCACACTGGAAAAGGGACTTGTGCCTTTTGGTGGAAGAGACAGTTGCGCCTCTGCCGGTGCCTGGAGCGTCCTCCACGCCACTGACTGGTCTTTTCAAATGGTTCACCTGAAAGGAGACACAGCATGAGTAGAGTCCAAGCGAGCTCAAGACACGAGCCCCCGGACAAGCCCAAAGACTCAAAGAAGGCACCACCCAGGCCAGGGTCACCCTAGCCCTGAACACTGGTTAGGTTTGGTTTGTTCAGTTTTTTGTTTGTTTTGTAATATTATGCATATGGCACAACATTCCAAGGATACAGGAATGGTATGGAGAAAATTAAGTCCCTCCCACCCCCACTGCGCTCCAAAGAACACCACATTACTAGATATTATGATGCCTGAAAGAGAGAGCCTATGTGTGCACCAAAAAAACCAAAGAAACAAAAAACCAGCACTGTCTTTTACAAAACGATAGCATGACATGCATACCTCTCTTCACTCTGCTTTTTCTACCTAATAGACATTAGAGAGGTCTCTATGGGAGCACATGCAGCGGCACATGGACCAGCTATGGGGATGACAGGCCCACAGATGGTTAGTTGAGTCCGTCTCTGTTACTGCACATGGTCACTGCAGCAACTTACTTGACAGAACTCTGTATGTGCAAGGCCAAAGATCTCTAACAGATCAATCCTGGATCAGAACTGCTAGATCAAAGGGTCTGTACATTTGGGGAGAGAGGAGAATATGCATTTTACTAGTGGAAAAAGGATGCAAAAAATATATATATATCAATACTTACCTACTGGTATGAGGGGACCTTTGCCAACCAGTGGCACTGTCTGAATAGCTAAGAAAGTTTCAAGAATGCCTTGAACTCCAGGATGCTCTCAGAGCTTCCCAGATATACCCAACCCCTCTGTGGAATATCCCTACAACCCTGGCACAGGAAGAGCACTAGTGGGCAGGAGAAACCAGGCTGCCCCAGAAGTTCACCACAAATAGGAAGAGGGCATGGAACAGGGATGAAGGCAAGGGGCGTGACCACAGGTTCGGGGCCTGGTTCTCCCCACACTAGTGGGAGGGTGGGGAGGCGAGTCAGTCCAGCATCATGATTTTCAGCTGACAAGGCAATCCTGCCTGGCCCTGTCTTCCACGACTGCAGTGAGGTAGGAACAGGATGGTGTATACAAAAATGCCCCAAAGTCCACAGACAGCAGTATACAACTAAGCCCGGGTCATAGTGACAGGGAAGCAACAGTAATAACAGGCTGACAGGCCACCTTATGGGTCTCTATTCCTGTCCTCTACTTGTGTCCAGCGCCCAGATGAGTCATATGAGACTACAGAGTGCCTCACACTGAGGGAAGCTGCCAGTCTGATTGCTATAGGACCAAAACTGCAAATTGGGCCTGTGTAGCCTTCTGATGCCTGTCTAGTTGCAGGCCTCATTGAGCTGGCAGCTTCCGTGGGCAGGACCACACTCACCTGAGGGGAATATCCACGTGGAGATCTGACTTTGGATGACTGGCTCAAATCAGGGTTTCTGATGCCATGCATAAGGCTGATGTGGCTCTCCAGGAGTGAGGGCCGAGGAAAGCTGGGGCTGTCCTCGGAGCAATACCTGCAGAAGTACCATGGAGAGGCCACATCAGACCCCAGGCCCCAGATCCCCCAGCACTCCTCACAGGAGGACAAAGGAGAGTCTGGAGTGAGCAGACAGCTGTGTCTTTGGGCTAGCTGGTGCTGGTATTTTCTGAGAGATCCAGCCGGCAGGCAGACCCAGGGCAGACAACAGCAACTCAGAACAGAGCGCTTGCATTCTCAACACCTGCCCTCAGCCACGTCTCACCCTATACACCCTAATGTCACTGCCCAGAGGTCCAAGTGCTAGGCTAGGGCTAGTGTGAAAGGGCCAGGTTACATCCCAAGGCACAGGAGATGGGCTTCCAGTCCCATCACCCTCGCTCCTCTTAAGCCTCTGGGCCCTTCATAGTGAACTGGCTGTGCAGCTCAAGCTAGAGAATGAGCTGGGGCAGGTCTCAGTAGCCACCAGATCTGGAAGCTACTTTCTGACCCACTCCTGATTTCTGACTTAGCCACAGTGTTTCTCCAGTTAAAAACTCACTTGTCTCTTGCCTGAGACACCTGACCCTAACAGAGAATAGCCCCAGTGGGACCAAGGCCAGAGCCTCTTGATCCTCAAGCCTCGCTCACTTCCATCCTGAGCCTCACCCACAGGTGTAGACCTTCTTCACTGCATCGTGGCTATTGCGGATGTGTTTGCGCAGGCTGCTGGGGGTGTGGAAGGACTGCTCACATTGCCGACACGGGTAGCGCTTCAGAGTCTGAGGGAGGTAAACATAGGAGAGGTCAGAACTGTGAGGCAGCTCTGGTACATTGTTCTTCCTAGACACCATGGGCAGGAAGGAGGCTGCCCACTAAGGCCTCAAGATCTGTGGCACCAAAGTACCAGGAACTCTCAGTAGGGTCTGACCCACAGAGCAGAAGTCCAGAGAACCTGGCACTGTGCTGAGTCCTTGTGCTGCACCTACCCGACCATGGCTCTTTTTCATGTGGGACACGTAGCTTTCCCGATCAGGAACCCACTCCTGGCACTCCTGGCAGGTCCAGCCAGTGCTCCTTAGCCGAGGCCTCGCTTCCGCCCTGCGATGCACTTCAGACCTGCCCCACCGGCCAGAGGGCAAGGAGCTGCTCCGAACAGCCATGCTGGCGGCAGGGGGTTCGGCAGGAATTCGAGAGCTAGGGCAGCTTGAGGATGTGTCTGCTGAAGACTGGAGGCTTGACAGCTCATCCACGTTCCGGGGAACACCATGGGTGCTCTGGGGATGAGAAGAGTGATTACTGACTGGGCAAGGGGAAAGATGCACAAAGTCAGACCCCCGACCTGAGGCCCACCCCCTCCTCCCCCGCCTTCTCCCCCAAAACATCCCACCTTAACATGCTGCATCAACTCCGGCTTCTGCACGAATAAGAGTGGACACTCAGGGCACTTAAAGACGCCCACCTGCGTCTTGCTGACATTCTGGTAAAAATGCTGCTGAATGTGCCTCTTCTTGTTGAAGACCATTTCACAGGAGCACTTATAAATGAGCCTGATGAGACAAACCCCAGGGTATGAGGTGGCTGAGGTTCTGCTGGAAGACCACATGGCCCTCCAACCTGTCTGTGCTCTCTCCGTACCAGAGTCAGCTGTGAGGAAGCCCCACCCTGAGCCAGTGCCTCAGGATGTCCTTAGCAGGCTCCAGCCATCTCTCCCACCAGCCCCAGCTTCCCAATCCATCCCTACACCACCCCATAAAGTACTGGGCCAGTTTTCTCTGCCCCACAGGGTCTGCTGGCCCTGGAGCCACACTCACTGGGAGGGTCTGTGGGGCTGGGTTGGATGGTGGTTGGCACTGTGGTCTGCGGTGCTGCTGGCAGTCTTGAAGGCCATGGGACAGAATGCACATTTGTGGAAAACCTGGCAGTGTCGCTCCTGGATGTGGCTTTTCAGCAAGGCCAAGGTCAGGTGGATGACACCACAGTGGATACACCTAGACAGCAGAGTTGGGGCAGTATCAGTGAGGCAGAGAAAAGTTAGACCTACGGGAAGTGCTGGAAGAGGAGTGAAGGAAGGAGGAGCAGAGCTGCCCTCCTCCTCCTCAGTCACTCAGTCCTCCATCCTCCACCTTGAGCCTGCCTGCTGCCTTCTGCACAATGCAGCCATACAGGACCCCCAGGCCCAAGGCCGTGCCTAGTAAAGAAGAGAGAAATTCTAGCCCTCCTTACATGGGCCAGAGGATACTCTTCCGCAAACCAAACTCACCTAACATAAGCTGGTGTGAGTAAGAAGGAAGACTGTCAGTGATGGAATGAATAGTACCAATTTAAGAGTGATACAACTGTTGAAGTCCAGTTAGAATTTCAGAAGAAATTCTGAAGGCAAGAGCCTGTGCCTTCCCACGGGCTGGTAGTGAGTAATCAAGGATGGTCACCTAAACAAAACAGTCAGGAAATGCTACACTCTCCATAACTGCTACATTAAAACAAGTTTAGGGCCCACGAAGAAATACTCTAGAACAGTGCTATCCAACGGAACTTGCTATGATGATGGAAATGTTCTATAGCTCGCTCCACTGTCCATGAGGCTAAATTTAAATAAAATTAAAATTTCAGTTCTTTAGTTGCATTGGCCGCATTTCAAGTACTCAACAATACACATGGTTGGTACTATTCTGGACCATGCAGCTCTGAACCCAGCTAATCTTTGTCATTTTGTAGAGACGAGTCTCACTGTATTGCCCAGGCTGGACTTGAACTCCTGGATTCCAGCAATCCTCCTACCTTGGCTCTCAAAGTGCTGAGATTATAGGCCTAAACCACTGTGCCTAGCCACGAACTTCCTTTTTATGACTGAACAATACTGGATTGTGTGAATAGCACTGGTTTTGTTTATCCATTCTTAGCTGATAGAAATTTGGGTTGTTTCCACCTTTTGGTGGAAAAATAATCCACATATTTCCAAATTTATCCGAAGTGGCCAAGTACACCTGATACGTGTAAAGAATCCCTTACAGTGGCTCCATTTGTACCATTTGACCAAACTTCTACAGAAACAATATAAAACCATATGCTCTTTTCAAATGCCTCTGAAATCCACTCTATGTATCCAGTAGACATTCTTTGTGAATGTTACGAACATAAAGGGGGAGAGAACATGTGCAAAGTGGCCACAGTGAGGCACTGAATCAAGGGGGGCTTATGAAGTGATGAACAAGTGTGAGGAACAGAACTCGAACCACATGATACAACTTGACCATAGTTTTTAAGAGGAAAAGGAGAAAATTTTAAAAATTTTTAGGGGGCAGCGCCTGTAGCTCAGTGAGTAGGGCGCCGGCCACATACACCAAAGCTGGTGGGTTTGAACACAGCCCAGGCCCGCTAAAACAACGACAACTGCAACAAAAAAAATAGTCTGACATTGTAGCGGGTGCCTGTACTCCCAGCTACTTGGAAGGCTGAGGCAAGAGAATTGCTTTAAGTCCAAGAGTTTGAGGTTGCTGTGAGCTGTGATGCCACAGCACTCTACCAAGGGCGACATAATGAGACTGTGTCTCAAAAAAAGAAAGAAAGAAAGAAAGAAAATATTAAAATAGTCTAAACTTGCTTCCCTGTGATATAAATGGCCACTCACCAAATTATCAAAGCAAGTTATAAGATTCTAAAATACATACATAAAGTGAATATATACATTCTACATAAAATACATACAAATAAAGCCGGATGTGGTAGCTCACACCTATAATCCTAGCACTCTAGGAGGCCAAGGTGGGCAAATTGCTTGAGTGCAGGAACTTGAGACCAGCTTGAGCAAGAGTAAGACATCGTCTCTAAAAATAACCGGGTGTACCCGTAGTCCCAGCTACTTGGGACACTGAGGCAACAGGACCACTTGCCCCCAAGAGTTTGAGGTGACCATTCCTCATAGGTGAGCTATTATGTCATGGCATTCTACCATGGGTGACAAAGTGAGACTATGTTTTGAAAAAAAAAAAAAAGAAAAAATATATATAATATACATTAAAAAGTATGGGCTTCTGGCTGAGCATAGTGGCTCACACCTATAGTCCTAGCACTCTGGGATGACTGAGGCACTTGAGCTCAGGAGTTCAAGCCCACATTTGGCTACTATGAATAATGCTGCTGATGAACATGCATGTACAAGTTATTGTATAAACATATGTTTTCAGGTTTTGGGGTATCTACCTAGGGTGGAATAGCTGTGTCAAATAGTAATTCTGTGTTTAACTTTTTGAGGAACTGTCAGACTGTTTTCCAAAGAGACTGCACCATTTTTATATTCCTTCCAGCATGTATAAAGGTTTTTGTCTGCATCCTTGCCAACATTTGTGATTGTCTGATTTTTGATTGTAACCATCCTTGTGGATATGAAGTGGTATTCTGATGGTTAATGATGTTTATTGGCCATTTGTGTATCTTCTTTGGAGAAATGTTTATTCAAATCCTTTGCTCATCTTTAAGTTATCTGTCATCATCTTACTGAGTTGTAAGAACTCTTTATACATTCTGAATGCAAGTTCCCTCTCAGTACAAGACCCTGTTCTATTAAAAACTATACCAAAAACTGGAAAACAAATATATGATTTTATAAATATTTTCTTCCATTCTGTGGGTGCTGTTTTTTAGTAAATTCTCAAAAAAATCTAAATTCCATTTTATTGAGCTCTACTACAGTTTTATATTATTTTATGTTTTATATTATTTTGCTTTTTCTTAAAGTATAACATTTCTCCTCTCCCCCTTTTTCTGAGACAAGAGTCTCGCACTGTCACCCTGAATAGAGTGTAGTGGCATCATTATAGCTCACAGCAACCTCAACCTCCTGGGCTCAAACAATTCTCCTCCCTCAGCCTCCCAAATAGCTGGGATTATAGGCACATGAGACATGTCTGGCTAATTTTTCTATTCTTTGTAGAAAGAGAGTCTCACTCTTGCTAGTCTCAAACTCCTAACCTCAAGCAATGTTAGGTTGGCATGAAGAAAGGTTGTATGTTTCTCTGACACTGAAAAAAGGAAAGTCTGTACTAAATTTGGTCAAAATTAACTTTCAAAAGTGAAAATGATAAAGTAGGAACTCCAAATTGTAGCGAACCAATAAAGGAGACTAACTGTAAAAGTTACAGATCAACGAACTCTGAAGGGAGCTCATTTTCCCCACTTTGATCTTTTCCTAAAAATGACTTCTTGCTCATATGTTTGAAATGATAAAAGGGTTCTATTTAAAATAAGAAATTTCTTGGTTTTACTATGAAGCTGATCATTTTTTCCATTTGCATGTTTTCCCTATTTCTCACAAACTGACAAAAACTAACAAAAATGAAGAAATTAGAACCTTTTAAGTTTGGCATCTTATAGACCCATTTGTTAAAAACTGAGAAAAGGCTCGGCGCCTGTAGCTCAGCAGCTAGGATGCCAGCCACACACACAGGAGCTGGTGGGTTCAAATCCAGCTGGGGCCTGCCAAACAACAAAGACAACAACCAAAAAATAGCCAGGTATTGTAGTGGGCACCTGTAGTCCCAGGTAGTTGGGAGGCTGAGGCAAGAGAATCACTTAAGCCCAAGAGTTGGAGGTTGCTGTGAGCTGTGATGCTATGGCACTCTACCGAGGGCGACAGCTTAAGACTCTGTCTCCAAAAAAAAAAAAAAAAAAAACCTGAGAAAACTTCAAAGTCCTACAATAAATAAAGTTATTATTAAAACAGTAATTTAAATTTAATATGCCAAACATACCTTTGTGAGTAATTTTATATCCTTAAAAGTGAATGTTATATATATTCTAATATTACCAAAATCTTCCCCCTTCAAAGCTTATTATTTTGTTTTGTTTTTATAAAACTAAACTTTATATAAAACATCTATTCTCTTAATAAGTCACTTTTATTCTATCAAATACTCATATTTTTATGAGGTCAAAGCTATTTTTTAAAAGTGTTTAAAATTTTATTCTTCTCCCCTTTGCCTTTCCTGTCCTCTACAAAATAAAAATGTCTAGCTACATACCAACTGATGCCTCTGTCCTATTAGGCTAAAACCCCAGTCTCTGAAGGCCCAAACCATTGGAAAGGAGTTCTGGGGAAAGGACCAATCATTGGGCAATACAGGACAGTGAGATAGGCAGCACCCACCTGTAGCCCACCTTGCGGGCATAGTGCAGGCAATTCTCCTTCACATGAGTCTGGAAGTAGGCAGAGCGACAGAGGACCCCACACTCCGGGCAGCAGTAGGGGGACTTGTGTGCATGAATCCGCTGATGGGCACAGAAACTGCACTGGTTGGGCAGCAGCATCTGGCACACCTGGCAGGTCTAGAAGAGAACACCGAAAGAGCAGATGACACAAGTGCCACCAGGCAGTGGGTCTCCATGCAGAACTGTCTGGCTTCCCAGGATGCGGGTCAGAATAGCCCCCTTCCTAAACCAATTACTCATTCTTCTAACTTTCCTAGGACACTTCTGACACTCTAGACATTGTTAAAAATGTCGATACTGGCCAGATATGGTAGCTTACATCTGTAATCCTAATATTACTCTGGGAGACCAAGGCAGGTGGATTATCGGAGCTCAGGGGTTCAAGACCAGCCTGAGCCAGAGTGAGACACCATCTCTAAAAAAAAATAGCTGGGCACTGTTGCAAGCACCTGTAGTCCTAGCTATTCAAGAGGCTGAGGCAAGAGGATCACTTAAGCCCAAGAGTTTGAGGTTGCTGTGAGCTAAGATGCCGCAGCACTCTACCAATGGTGACAGAGTCAAACACAGACTCAGAAAAAAAAAAACTCAAAGCCCATCCTTATGTAGAGCGGTAGGTTTGAAGAAAAATGAAACAAGATAGCCATGAGCTGGTAATTGATAAGAAGGGTTCATTACATCATTCTTTCCACTTCCATATATGTTTGAAATATTCCATAAAACATTTTTGTTTTAAGTGTCTACTTCAGTGCAGAACAGCACAGGCAGCCTGCTACCCTTTATGTAAGAGAGGGGGACGATTTCGCTGTCTCTCACACACACACATTTGCTAATAAATAAATAAAAAAAAAAAGAATAGAAATGTTAACCTATGGCAGTACATTGAGCTCCATAGAGACAGCGCCAGGGCAAGTGAGAGCCGGACGGGCCCTGGGTGACTCTGTGCCTCGCTGAGGAAAAATACCTAAACATGGGCAAAAGAGATCCTAAGAAGCAGAGAGGCAAAATGTCATCATGTGCATTCTTTGTGCAAACTTATTGGGAGGGGCACAAGAAGAAGCACCCAGAGCTTCAGTTAACTTCTCAGAGTTTTCCAAGAAGTGCTCAGAGAGGTGGAAGACCATGTCTGCTACAGAGAAAGGAAAATTTGAAGATATGGCAAAGGCGGACAAGGCCCATTATGAAAGAGAAATGAAAACTTATATCCCTCCAAAAGGGGAAACAAAAAAGAAGTTCAAGGATCCCAATGCACCCAAGAGGTCTCCTTCAGCCTTTTTCTTGTTCTGTTCTGAGTATTGCCCAAAAATCAAAGGAGAACATCCTGGCCTATCCACTGGTGATGTTGCAAAGAAGCTGGGAGAGATGTGGAGTAACACTGCTGCGGATGACAAGCAGCCTGAGGAAAAGAAGGCTGCAAAGCTGAAGGAAAAATACGCAAAGGATATTGCTGCATACTGAGCTACAGGAAAGCCTGATGCAGCGAAAAAGGGAGTCGTCAAGGCTGAAAAAAGCAAGAAAAAGAAGGAAGAGGAGGAAGATGAAAAAGTTGAAGATGATGATGATGAATAAGTTGGTTCTAGCACAGTTTTTTTTTCTTGTCTATAAAGCATTTAACACAACTGTATACAACTCACTCCTTTTAGAGAAAGAAATTGAAATGTAAGGCTGTGTAAGATTTGTTTTTAAACTGTACAGTGTCTTTTTTTTGTATAGTTAACACACTACCGAATGTGTCTTTAGATAGCCCTCTCCTGGTGGTATTTTCAATAGCCACTAACCTTGCCTGGTACAGTATGGGGGTTGTAAATTGGCATGGAAATTTAAAGTGGGTTCTTTTCGGTGCACAGCACAAATTAGTTATATATGGGGACGGTAGTTTTTTAATCTTCAGTCTCTGATGCAGCTTATACGAAATAACTGCTGTTCTGTTAACTGAATACCACTCTGTAATTGCAAAAAAAGTTGCAGCTGTTTTGTTGACATTCTGAATGCTTCTAAGTAAATACAATTTTTTTATTAAAAAAAAAAAAAAGAACTGTTAACTATGGGGAAGGAAGAAATAGGGTAACAGGGACAGAGATGGAAGCAAAACTTCTCTGAATGTACCTTGTCACAGTTTTAACATAAAAATCAATAAATGTAAAAATAACAATATAAAATTAAACAAAATATTCCCTAAAAATTGAAAAACAGAAGTGAACCATTTAAATATATATCTAGTTGATGGAATCACACAAAGAAAAAAATTATCCCTAGTGACCTCAAAATACAGTGTTTTGACTTGTACAATCTCAGTGCAATACATTCTAAAAGCAAACAGAGCACCCTAACCTTTACCAAGTTGTCCTAATTTTAGAAGTAGCATTGGTTTTAATATTTTGTAATTTGTATGGACATACATACACAGAGAGAGCCAGTTTTACTTTCCTTTTAAAAGTACATATTTCCTGTGGCCAGGCATGGTGGCTCACACCTATAATCCCAGCACTTTGAGAGGCTGAGGCAGAAGGATAACTTGAGCCCGGAGTTCAGGAACAGCCTTAACACAGTAAGACCCTCTCTATAAATAAATAAATAAGTTTAAAAGCATCTATATCTTAGCTCTGGCCACTGATTAAGGCCCTGAAACAAATAAAAACTCAGTAGCTAGGATCATATCTAGTGACCTGACTGTGGCCTCTAAATACTATTCCTCAGTAAAAGAAACCTTAGAAAAATGACTGACTCTGGATTTAGCAAAGAAAGGTGTCCAGGTCATCTTATTTAGAGTAAAAATAAGGCAGCTTCTCAAGGATTAGTGAGTTCAGCCAGTTTGATGGGGTTCCCAGTAACAAAGATGGGATAACCGGAACATGAAAAACAATGACTGAATACATAAATACACTGAACACATATTTTACATCAAAACTAGCTCTACGCTTAAGTTAAAAAAAAAAAAAAAAGGAAAGAAAGAAAAAGAAAAGAATATGCTGAATATATACAAATAAATGAGTTCACTATGAAATAGAGGAGATCACCTCATACCCACTAGGGTGGCTACTATAAAAGAAAACAGAAAATAGTAAGTGTTGACGAAGACATGGAGAAATGGAAACTCCTGTGCGCCACTGGTGAGAATATAAAACAGTGCAGCTACACAGAACACTATGGTAGTACCTCAAAAAATTACACATAGAATTACTATAGGTTATAGCAATGCCACTTCTGGGTATACACCCAGAAGAACTGAAAGCAAGATCTCAAAGAGAGATTTGTACACCTATGTTCACAGCAACATTATTCACAACAGACAAAACATGGAAGCAACTCATGTCCATCAACAAGTGAAGGAATAAACAAATTATGGTATACACACACAATTGAGTATTATTCAATCTCAAAAAAGGAAATTCTGACATGGGCTGCAGCATGGGTGAACCCTGAGCACGCGCTAAGTGGAATAAGCCAGTCGCAAAAAGGTAAGCACTATATGATTCCACTCACATGAGGTGCCTAGAGTAGTCAAACTTAGAGACGGAAATGTAATGGTGGTTGCCAGGGGTGGGGAAGAGGGGAAAATGGGGAGTTATATCAAACAGGTAAAGAGCTTCAGTTTTAAAAGGTGAAAAGAGCTCTGGAAATTGGGTGCAGATTAATATAAATATATTTAACATTAGCACTACTAAATTATACAAAGTACTTAAGATAGTTGGCACATCCGTAGCTCAGTGGGTAAGACACCCGCCCCAGCCTGCTAAACAACAACTGGAACAACAACAAAATAGCCAGGTGTTGTGGCAGGCGCCTATAGTCCCAGCTACTTGGGAGGCTGAGACAAGAGAATCACTTAAGCCTAAGAGTTTGTGGTTGCTGTGAGCTGTGACACCACAGCACTCTACCCAGGGTGACAGCTTGAAACTCTGTCTCAAAAAAAAAAAAAAAAACCCAAAGTACTTAAGATAGAAAACTACATGTTATATGTATTTTACCACAAATTTTTAAAAATAGAAGAGGGACTCTTAGAATATCATTTGAGATTGTCAGGGCATTAACCCACTATTCTGAAACTGTTATTTAAAGGAAACTGGCCAGGTGTGGTAACTCATGCCTGTAATTCCCAAACTCTGGGAGGCCAAAATGTGGGGAGGATCACTTGAGGCAAGGAGTTGGAAACCAGCCTGGGCAACATAATGAGACTCTGTTTCTATAAAAAATGACGGGTGACAAAGTGAGACTCTGTCTCAAAAAAAAAAGCAAGCAAGCAAGCAATTTAAAAACAGCCAGAAGTGGTGGCACCAGGCACCTGTAGTACCCGCTACTTGGGAGGGTAAGGCTGGAGAATCACTTCGGCCCAGGAATTCAAGGCTACAGTGAGCTGCGGTTGGGACATTGCACTCCAGCCTGGATGACAAAGTAAGACCCTGTCTCTAAAAAAATAAATAAAATAAAATAGAATAAAATAAATAAAAGAAAAAAACTATTTCATTTTCTAGCATAAACTATATTTCTCAATAGTAATTTCATTTTCTAGCATTAACCAAAAAGTCTTTGAGGAAGCAGGAAAGATACTTTATACATAATTCCATCTAATAAATGAGAAAGAAATAATGAAATTTAAAAAACACTCTTTGGGATTCTTAATAAAACTAGACTCAAGCATTAATTATTGATGGACACTAAAATCACTAGGTACCACATAAAAAGCAGAGAACTTCATAAAGAAGGGATACAAATATCATCACTTAAATTCACTGATCAAGTTCAGTACCATTAAAAATGTGACAATCAGGGCCGCGCCTGTGGCCTAGTGGGTAGGGCGCTGGCCCCATATACCAAGGGTGGCGGGTTCAAACCCGGCCCTGGCCAAATTGCAACAAAAAAATGGCCGGGTGTTGTGGCGGGCACCTGTAGTCCCAGCTGCTGGGGAGGCTGAGGCAAGAGAATCG